CCCTTTTGGGGCTGGAGCGATAGCACAGCAGGTAGAGTCTTTGCCTTGCACGCAGCCGACCCAGGTTCGATTCCCAGCATCCCATAAGGTCTCCTGAGCAACACCAGGAGTAATTCCTGAGTGCAGAGCCAGGAGTAATCCCTGTGCATCACCAGGTGTGATCCAAAAAGCAAAAAAGAAAGAAAAAAAGAAAGTGACCCTTTCACGATGGTTTCTACAGGTCCTTTTCTTTGTGCGTGACCCCAGCTATTTGATAAAGGTTGACACGTGTAACCTGAGGCTGACACGGAGCTCTTGGTCACCTATGATGACAGGTGCAGACTCTCCCCTCAGTTCCCTGCTTAAGTCTCCTGGATCTCCTGGGTCTCACTGGTATAGGAACCCACTGAAGCGGCCGTCCAGGCCTTGGTTCTCACTTCCCCATCATGACCAGAAGATGGCGCCTGCATTTCATATTTAAACAGTAAAGAGCAGATTGATTTATTTATTTTCCTTCCTTTCCTCTTTTCCATTTCCATTTTTGTGTCATACCATGAGCTGTTTAGGAACTGCACCAGGCTCAGGGATAGCTTCTGGCAGTGCTCAGACCAAAAGGTACTCGGGGGGGGGGGGGGGGGGGGGGGAGGTGGAACCCTGGCCTTCCACGTGCAGTGCACACACCACTCAGCCAGGGTAGCTCACTCTGTGTCCTGAACAGAGATTTTCTAAAAAAGGCTTGGCTGTGTCATGCTTACAACTGCCAAGGCCTTCATGTGGGCCTCTGAGTACTCTTCATTGCTGTCTTCACAGAAGACCCTCTTTGCAGTCCTTTATGTTTAGGCTGCAGTATTTTTGTCACTTAAGCAGCTATCTATTTTAGGAAAGTTTCTTAATTTCCCTGAAATTAAGGTGACACTGGTTATACTCTAACATTTGTTATCCCTTTTCTGTGCAAAAACCTTCCATGGTAGTTAGGAGACATAGTTCAAGGAACAAATGGCCATATTTAATTACATCCCTCTCCAAACCCCTCCCAACCCTGACTAAAATCTATAAGAAATAAGTATTACTGTCCCTGTTTTATAGAGAAAGAGACAAAGGCATAAAGAAATTAAGTTGAATCAAAATAAAATTAGTGGACGTTATTAAGTCTTAAGGAGTTCACTTAAAAGTGAAGTAACCAAGGCTGGGGCAAGATAGGTCGCTAGCCAGATTAGATCCCTGGCATTCCATATGGTCCCCCCAGCACTGCCAGGAGTAATAATACCTGAATGTATAGCCAGGAGTAACTCCTGAGCATTGCTGGGTGTGACCCCAAAGCAAAAACCAAAAAAGTGAAAGTAACCATGTGATAGCACTGTAGCCCTATCCTCCCGTTGTTCATCGATTTGCTTGAGTGGGCCCAGTAACATTGTGAGATTTGCTGTTACTGTGTTTGGCATATCGTATGTATCACGGGTAGCTTTCCAGGCTTTGCTGTGCAGGCAAGATACTCTTGGTAACTTGCTATGCTCTCCAAGAGGGGCAGAGGAATCAAACTCGGATCGTCTGACCCAGTCGCGTGCAAGACAAACGCCCTACCTGCTGTGCTATCACTCCAGCCTAACTAAATGATAGGGATCTAGAAATAGCCAACTATTAATATAATATATAAATAAGTCTATGAGATATATTTTAGGTCATTACGAACTCTATAAAGTTTCACAGAGTGAGAAGAACACTCAGAAGTGGTTATAGTTATCAGCACAAGGAGGACAAAAATATGGCTAAAAGGGTCTAGGAGAAGACCCAGAAGCGGGAGCTATGCTTAAAGAAGGAGGGGCAACTTCCTGGGAGAAAAGAAAAAAAATGATGGCAATCAGGAAGATCGTTATTTGAAAAGGAAGGGGGGGGGGGGTCTATGAATGTAATAAATGTGCTCAGGAACAGCTCCAAGCACTGAACCTGGGCACCACCGGGTTTGCCCTTCCGTCACCACCACCTAAATATATCAGGGCTGAGCAGATAGTACAGGAAATCAAGTACTTGTCGTCTGTGCAGCTGACCCTGGTTCAGTCCCATTTCTCAAGCACTTCCAGGGCTGATTCCTGGCCACAGAACCAGGAAAAACTCCCGGCAACCTAAACCAAATAAGCAAACTGAAAAAGAATAAATATAAGGGAACCAGAGCAATTGTACAGCAGGTAGGGTGTTTGCCTTGCATGTGACGGACCTGGGTTTGATCCCAGACATTCCATATGGACCCCCAAGCAGAGCCAGGAGTAAGCCCTGAGCATCACCACTTGTGGCCAAAATTAGAAAAAGAAGAAATGTAAGGACACAGTTGGGGAAATAACTCAATGGTTCACAATAAAACCGCAGGTCTCAGCACGACTGATAGACTGCAGAAGGTGCATGGGCATTATCAAAAGCGCCAGTGTGGGCCCTATCCACAGAGGCAGACAACTTCACATCTCAAACTGTAGCATTGGGCTGTCCCATCCATTGAGTATTGTCAGAAATGACCCGCAGGATCCACTAAGTACATCTGCCACCCTCCCCACTCCCCCCCCCCAAAAAAAAACTCCCAATGTAAGCCTACCATACAATAAAGGAATTTTACCCCTCAGTAATTACCAGCGATCGATGAAAACAAGCTTTTATTAACACTTGACATAAGAATGTTCGCTGCAGTCTTATATATACCCCCAAGCTAGAAACAGCCATTTATCCAGCAACTGGAAAATGGATAAGGGGTCGGGGATATGGTGCCGCCAGCAGGTCAGTCTGTACCTGTGAGGCGAGTGCATCAGTAACCTGATGGTGCCTTCAGACTTCTAGATACCCCAAAAATTGCTGCTGTGCCTTTGGCCAGACCCCAACAACTTGGGGCCAAGTTTACCAAGAAAGTAAATGGCCAAAAGTTAGGTATGTGGGAGACACACCCACCAACCACCTCTGGCTCAGCTATATAATTGGAAGCATAGCCTCTCTGGTTCCTGATCAAACTGCTTAATGACCATGATCCCAGAGACTTAGAAACAAATCTTGGAACCCAGTGGCTTTTGGCAGAAATGCGTCCGGTCCCCACAGTAGGTTCCCAGCGCCGGGCAACCCCAGGTGAGAATAGGTTTCGTGCGTTGGCCTGTTCCCCCTGGCAGCTCAGTGGCCACCTTCCTCCAGAGGCTGTTGAACAGTCAGGTTTGGGCCCGCAGTGATGAGACATGAGGGGCCTCATGGGATGGGGGTGGTGCTGGCCCTTTCCTACCCCTTAACGAGAACCAAGTCGCCTCCCACAAACTGCCTCTCTGGCTCCTGATCAAGCTGCTTAACTGCCATGATCCCAGAGACTCAGGAACAAATCTCGAAACCCAGCAGGTTTGGGCAGAAATCCCTCCAGATTTAATTGTTAAAATTTCAGGATTCTAAAATCGTGCAGCCACTACTGTGGCCACACAACATTATATGTTATTCATAATCAGCAATAGCAAACATATTGTCTAATCAATTTGTCTTTTCAGCAGATCTGAGTGTTGGGGTAAAATCCCAAATAATAATGGGGGTCTGGGGTCGAAATATTGAATGAAATCAAAATAAAGAGAGAGTAATGTGGAAATCATCTGCCCCACAGGTAGGGAGAGGGTGTGGGACGGGGCACATACTGGGGTTTTTGGTGGTGGAGAATGGGCACTGATGAAGGGACAGGTGTTTCATCATTATATGACTGAAACTTAAACCTGAAAGCTTTGTAACTGTTCTCACGGTGATTCATTAAATAAGTTTATAAAAAGGGGGGGGGGAAAGTAAGGTGGAGTTCATGCCCAATTCTATCAGCCTAATCAATGGCTGACATTTAAAAAAAATGGACAGGTGGTAATATAGTCATCCAATGGAATACTATGTTGTTATAGAAAAGAATAAATGACTGGGGACCAGAGCAATAGTACAGCAGGCGGGGGGTTCGTCTTGCACATGGCTGACCCAGGTTCAATCCCAGGCATCCCATATGGTCTCCCACCCCACCTCTGCACCACCAGAAGAAATTCCTGAGTGCATAGCCAGGAGTAACCCCTGGGCAATACTGGGTGTAACCCAAAAAGACAAATAAATACATTACTGGCCACTCACGAACAGCCTGCCCCTGCATCAGACTCAGTGAGCAGAGTCATCTGGCCCTGCCCACCAGGTGCAAAACCATAGCACAGCCACTAACATGCACTACATCATCCGCCACCCTGACACATATCATATGGAACACACCTCGGCCTTTTATGCTGAACTCGTGCTGGAACAGCATGGCGACCCTCAACCATACTGCACTAATATTTACTCAACCCTAATTTCGATTCCCATCCCCACAGACTTCCAAAGGTAGCAGTGGGATGTCTCCGGAGACCAGAGGAGGAGGAGGAGGGTCAGTGATGTTGCACACCTCCAGACCCGGCATAAGAAACTAAACAATTAGGCTTGAACATGGATCTCACTTGTCTCTGTGTTTCTTTGCTCACTCCTTTCTACTCGCGAGAAACCTGTGTTCTCTCTTGAACCCATGCTTCATTTTCTTTCCCCTCGCATCTTTCTAAATAAGTTTTAATAAAAATGATCTTGCCAAAGGAAAGACAGTCCTAAAATTGCAATAGCACTGTCCTCCCATTGTTCATCGACTTGCTCAAGCGGGAACCAGTAACGTCCCCATTGTGTTGTTACTGTTTTTGGCATATTGAATATGCCATGGGTAGCTTGCCAGGCTCTGTCGTGTATGCGGGATACTCTCAGTAGCTTGCCAGGCTCTCTGAGAGGGACAGGGGAATTGAACCCGGTCAGCCACATGCAAGGCAAACACCCTACCTGCTGTGCTATCACTCCAGCAATGATAAAATAAATGATTGTGTCCCTGAAAAAGATATGAAAGCTTTGATAGACATACTTCTTGGGGAAGGGCTCTTGTGTTTTTATTGACATGGTTTTGTTGCTTGAAGAAAATGTCCTGATTCTCTTTCATGGGGGGTCCTTCTAAACTTGAGTCTGTCTCCTCTGTGTAGGAATCTCCCTGCCATCCTGGATTGGGTGAGAACTCAGAAGCCTGGAGCTATGGGAGTCAACATCATCACGTCTGATTTTGTGGATCTCGTGGACTTTGCCACAACTGTTATTGAGTTGAACGACCTCCTGCAGGAGAATAGAGCTTTGGCTAAATGCTGATTTATTTTTTTTTAACTTCATGTTGAATTTGTTGATCCAGGGTAGAGTTCTGAAGTGTTTCCCATTAGGATGCCCCTGGGCAGTAAATGGAACAGTAAGAAGAGGAGGGCATTTTTTGCTTCCTTACTCACAGGGCCATGTGGATAAAATTACAAGCCTTTAAATTGCATTTTTTTTCCCAAATGAGACTTTTATACAAACATTAAGTCCAAGGGAAGAAAGCATGTTTTGTGTGACAAAGATAAAACTATTCCCAATGGCTCATGGTACTGAATGTAATGTGGAAGGGTCTCCAAGTTCCACTGGGGCCTTAATTGCCCCCTTTGACTCAGATCCCTCATTGGATCCCAGAGGGGTCCAGTGTGTTTGAGCCTAGGAGGAGGCTAAAACATAAAGGTGTTTCTGGTCAAAAGAATGACTCATTGAGGTTCTGTACAGCCACACAGGGTAGACCCAACACCAACCTGGGATTGTGAAGGGGGAAAATATTAAGACCCTGTTCTCTCTAGGATGTTGAGTGTCACTACTTTTTCACTGAGAGATTTAAGACTTATTTATCACCAAGGTATTTCAGCCACAAGCTGTTCTGAGCTTCAGCTGATCACCTGAACTCTTTAGATGAATAATGCCTATTGTCATCAGTATCAGAAATGTGGTTCCCGGTTTTTCAACTTGGATTCCTCTCTATTTCTTTTAGCCCTGTCTTAAAAGAAACAGATGGGAGGTATTTCCAGAATGGGGCTCCACTAGACATAGACATGCATGTTTGTTGCATGCCAGATTTTTCTTATTATTATTTTTATTTGAATCTGTAGCTTTTCCCAAAATGGCTGCCAGGTGAGCACCTGCATCATTTTGGCAAAGTCCTCTGCAGAGTGGGATCTGCATGCCAGATGTTGGAGCTGCATTTTTTTGTTATTGTTGTTGTTGTCTGCTTAGGACTCGGGTCTGTGCTAATGGAAGACGCCTTGTCCGTGACACCATGGAGGCAGACACAGGATGCATGGGCGAGTGCAATGGATTGAAGGAGGAAGCTCCAAGTGGGTTTGGAGCCATTCTGTAACTCCTTGAAAACAAGACTACCTCGGGGATATTTAGGGTGACGCATGTCATCAAGAACTCCCAGTATGGGAACATTTCCAGTTTGTGTCTTGACTGTTCTACTTCCTGCTGGTTGCTTTTGGCCCCTGGCCCCTTGATCACCATTGCATGAGGGTTTTGAATCTCAAGAGGGGATTTTTTTTTTGATTGATAAGAGGTACTTACCTTTAAAGAGCCCTCTTACGGTTTTGTTTCTTATTTATTTATTTGTTGATTTATTTATAGAATAAGTAACTTCAGTGCTTCTTACCTCAAGAGCACTCACAAAGGAGCTTCCAGAACAGCTCCTACCTAGGCCAGAGGCTTCCCTGGCCTTCTTCTTCTTCTTACCAGGACCATGCATCTCAGGACTATGAGTGAACTTCGAATCTGCTGTAGCCCCAACTTTCCCCCAACGTGCAGGGGACAGTGTTTAAGCACGAGTATGATCCAGTTCTGAGAAGTCGCTGTCAATCCATGCATGGGGCAGAAGATGAAATGGGTCATGGAGAACACTTGGTTCTTGAGCCAGACCCTCTACAAGGATGGTGTCAAAAGAAAGAACTCCAGGGGAGAACTAGGCATGGGAGTGTGTGTCACCCAGCTGCACCTCAGAACTGTTTGTCTGCGCATCCCCCAAGGAAATGTGAGCTTCTGCATTCTTCAGGAGGAAAGAGAAACTGGGTGTCCCTGGACAGATGTGTGCATTGAAAAAAATCCTTGGAGTACCTGCCAGCAGCTTTCTGTTCCTCTCCTTCCACCCTCATAGCTGAATTTTGCATATTGTCTGCACTGGTGTGGGAGGACTGGGTAATCCAACATGAACTATGAAGAGCATAAGCACACACATCTCCCACCCCACCCCACCCCAGCCCCAGCTGTAGGTCTTCCAGCCATTTCTTTTTGTAAAATGAAGAAGGACTTTGATCGTTAGCTTCCACACCTTGAGGATGTCACAACACAAATTCCACTAAGAAAATTTGGTTTAGCTTTTTCTTTTGCTTGCATTTGAAGCCCTTCCCAGAGAATTTCTAGAAGTTTCTAGAGTTTCTAGAAGTTTATTCATTAAAGGGTCATCTCTGGAAAGGGATTCTTTAAAGTCCTGTTATTAAACTTCAGTGATGAGTTCTCAAATCCCTGGCCTCCCCTCAGGGGTTATTGGTGTTGATATTGTTTTCCTTGGGACTTCTTTTTAATTCTTGCGCAGTTGCTTGGGACTAAGTTATTTCCTTTCTCTTAACTCTTTGTGACTTGGCACAGAGATAAGGAGGCAAGAGGAGAATTCTTCTTCTGCTCTGTTTTATTGAAGCCTCAGCTTTGTCCAGGTGCTTGGTGCTATGATGCCAGGTGTGTTGACAAGTGTCCTACTCTCGATACCTGTCACACCCAAGGGCTGTTGACTGTTCAGTGAAATGTTTACTTGATTTTCTCCTTTATTTCAAAATACGAACTTGCACTTCATGCGGGTTGTAACACTACTTGTACCTCAGTGTTCGTATGGTAAGAGATGTCTGAGAAGCGTGACTCAAAAGCACAGAAAATGGTACCCAGATCACATGCATGAAGTCCTGCCCTTTGTGGCAAGGGCAGTGCTCATTTGCTCGTGCTACTTTGGCTTGCCAACCTGGCTTGCATTTTGGAGTTCTGCACAGGAATTCTGGGAGGTAGGTGAGGATTATTTATAATTTCCCCTTGGTAAAGACCCTGCATTGGATAAAAATTTCTGTTCCCCCAAATTGTTGCTTGCCAGATTGTAAAGGATATGAGTGCTCTGTTTCTTGTCCTAACGCCAGGCAGGAGAACTCAGTGATGGGTCAAAGGGAAAATAGACTTTTGGTCTGTGACTAATTCTGTAACTGCCCACAACAAAAACAGTGCTCCAACTTTTTCTCACAATTTTTGGGGACCTCTCAGATCCTACTTGCTCATAATTTACTTCACAAAAAGGACTGCTTGACTGAGCCAAAGAAGACTTCAGTTTTATAGGATTTGGGGCCATATTTATTCTGAAATGGAGGCTGAGTTTTTTCATGAGCATCCTGGACCTTTTGCCACCTGGTCATGTTTCTGTGATTTTAGATTAGAGGGATTTTAAATACTTTAAACTTGGGGTTTATTAGAAGTACCACTGCAGTCTTTCATGGGTACAGAAGACATTCTTAGGGCTGGGGAAAGATATAAATAGAAATGAGTGATAAATTATTGACAGTTAAAATCTAAATTAGTTGCAGATCTAAGAGGACTATGCAAAAACTAAATAAAATACTGTTACTGTATTTGACACTACAGTAATTAAGTTTGTTTTTCTTTGTGATAGTCCCAGATCCCTGAATTTTTTTGGAAGTATTATGACACAGATGAAGTCCAGGACTTTCTATAAATTCAAAGAAAAGCACAAGACCTAAACCTAGATAATAACAATCCTTACCCATCTTTCATGACCTCATGCGTACATCAAAAAATAGTGTTTCTATTCAAGAATACTGCATAGTGAAACATTCTGGAATTAAATGCAGTTTTGTAGGATGTCAGGATCTTCTTTTTCTGTTGCTGTTTTTCTGAATCTTACCATAAGAAAGTGCTCCCCAAAGAGGCACAATGAGAGTGTCTACAGGGCTCAACACTGCGCTGTAGATGGGGGAACAGAATGAACTATCACTATCACCATCCTCCTGTTGTTCATCGATTTGCTCGAGCGGGCCCAGTAACATTGTGACAACTGTTACTGTGTTTGGCATATCGAATACATCACGGGTAGCTTGCCAAGCTTTGCTGTGCAGGCAAGATACTCTCAGTAGCTTGCCGGGCTCTCCGAGAGGGGTGGAGGAATCGAACTTGGGTCGGCCATGTTGGCTGCATGCAAGGCAAACGCCCTACTGCTGTGCTATTGCTCCAGCCCAACAGAATGAACACAAGAAAAAAAAAAATCATCTCTCTCCCTGGGAAGCACAAGCTCTACTCCAAAACCTCTCCATCTTACTCAAGTAGTTCCTGCACTGGTGAATTTTTGTGATTTTAGAATTTATTGAACACTTTTACTGCTAAATTCTAGGAATCAGAATGGGCTCATCAATGGGGCTCCACTCTGAGATCCCTCCCCTTGGCTGAGTAAATGATCCTGTGCTAAATCTGCCTTGCTTCTTTCACTTAGAATAAAGACGCTTTCTGCTACTTTAATGCTGGGTGGTTTGCAGTCTTGGTCTACCAGCAGCTCCTCCAAAGTGTCTGGTGGCTTGTTTTTAGGTTTGATGCCTTATGCTCCAGGGTTATGCACATGTGGTCTCTTTTCCTCCTGAAGAAGTTATGTACATGTGGTCTCTTTTCCACCTTCTTTTCCACCTGGGCTCATTTCTCAAACATAGGATAACAGAACTTGGCCAATCGTGGCACCATTAGCAATCTATGTAATGAGAGAGGTAGGACTGAAAGAAATCTACCTACCCATTTGCTTGTGAACTCCATTGAGGTGGGCCCTCCCAAATACATGCTAGCCTTGTTCTTCCAAGACAAAATGAATGGGAAGCGATCATAGCAAGCATCCAAACTGACGCTTGTTTTGTACTGCATAGGCCATGGCCAGCTCTCAGATTTCACATCTCTCCAGTACACCTCAGTAATCTCTCAAACTGCTTCCTAGTGTCTGCCACCATAGCTTTGTCACTCACAAATGTTATCTTGGACCACAGGTATGAACAGATGGGATAAGGGATTCGGCTGGAAATGTTTCCTTCAATTCCAGGTAATGCTGAAAATCTCTACTGCCCTGAGAGACTCACTGTCATATCCTCAGAATTCCTCCCCCCCTCCCCCAGCTTGCTACTAAAAATAGTGACATTAAAACCACCCTGTATCTGAGTTGTCCTATCCCAGAATGCACTGAAAGAAATGCTACTGATGTGGGACTGGAACAATAGTACAGTGGGTAGGCATTTGTCTTGCATGCAGCCGACCCGGGTTCGATTCCCAGCATCCCATATGGTTCCCCAAGCATGGCCAGGTGTAATTCCTGAGTGCAGAGCCAGGAGTAACCCCTGAGCATCGTCAGGTCTGACCCGACAAGAAAAGAAAAAAAAGAAAGAAATACTACTGATGCTATAGAAATACTACCATTAGAGACACTACAGAAATAGTGTAAGGTAACTGTCTATACTATGGTGGATATAATGTTCTTGTCTTTTTTCAGTAAAACTTTTCTAAGGACTTTTCAAAGTCTTTTGCAAGTTCATAGTTTAAAAATATATATACTTTCTCTTTTCCAGGAATTCAATTCTATGGTCTTATTAAGCCATCCCATCAATAGTCCATATATATTTTATATCTCTTTTCTTTCCCTCGATGTCATAGAATACCCCTTTCTACTCTTATCTCTTGCCCATCTTTTTTCTTCTGTTGATTGCTGTCAAGCACAGAATACTGACAGTGCCTACGATAAAATGCACAAATATTCAATCATGTCCAAATGCACTGGTTTGGTTTGGTTTGGTTTGGTTTGGTTTGGTTTGGTTTGGTTTGACTCTACACCCAAGCGGTGCCCAAGTGTGTCCACATGCACTGGAATTCTTGTTTAGGTTTTTTTTGTTTTGTTTTGTTTTGACTGCTCTCAGGATTCACTTCTGGCAGTGCTTGGGGGGACATATGGATGTTGGGGATTACAAGGCAAACACCCTAACTACTGTACTATTGCTCTGGCCCCACCACATGCATTCTTATCACAGTGCTTTTTTGACCCTCACTCTTCTCACATCTGTTATTCTGTCCCCTAGTACAGACACACACACACACTCCCTCCCAGTGACTGGAACTTTCCCTAATTGGAGTTCAGAACTTGGGGTCAGTACTTCATTCAAATAGCAGGGCATTACTCACAACCTTTGAGCCCAGTGAGAAGCACAGCACTTTGCAAAGTCAAAAAGACCTTTAGGAGCTTTGTACATTTTCAATTTTGCGTAGAACCAATGTGAGAAATCTTAAGACATATTCTAAACACAGTGGTATCTTGCTGCTATTACCAATTTATAGTCCAGTATTAATAAGTAGACATGCAGATTCTGTATGCATTATTTGAATTGTGTGTATGACAACTGTAATACTTAACCTCATGATTAGCAATTAGAAAAATAAGTCTTGGTCAATTCTGATGATACGTGAATATGATGATAGATGCTCCTCTGGATATTATATTTTGTTCTCTATGCTTGTTTTGTACTACAAAGCATGTTGTTCTAAAAAGAAATGATAGCAGATTATACCAATTTTAAGGTTAAAATTACAATTTTCCATATATGCTGCTTGATTACTCTAAAGTGTATTTCGTGACATAATTATCTTATTCTACACACTTCACTTGGCTTTCCCTACCCTAAGAAATAATTGTTCCGATATA